AGGGGGGGGGGGGGGGGGGGGGGGGGGGGGTTCACAGTGGATAACTTACGGTTCTGTAATTTACCAAAGCATTAAAGGCCGACTCAAAAACAGAATCGATGCTATAATCCTCCCACAATATCCAAGATATTTATAAAATAAATTGTTTATAAGTCAACTGCAGTTTCTTTCCTGCGATCCATGAAGAATCAGGTTTATCATCCCGCAGATGTGACTGCTGGCAGCACGTGAGAAAATCTTGGAATGCAAGTCACTAAAGCTAAAGAGCACTCTATTTTCAATATTAAGATAGACAAAGGCTTTATCTAGTAAACTTTACGACGTTCAATTGAGAAAAAAGATGCGCACAAAGCCACTCGAGCAGTTAACTAAATATACAGTCAAAACAAGACGAATATGAGATAACAGAATAAAATACTCTAAATCAAGAACATAGCACTGCATATAAAATCAAATCCAAGCAGCAATGGGAAGAAGAAATCAGCCAGAGAGGGATTATATAATAAAAATGGAAAGAATAAGCCACAGATAAAAACATGGAAAAATATAATGCAAAACAAGGTTGCATAGCAAACCAACCTCGGATTTGCTTGAAGAATCTTGTGCTGAGGAATTGTTAGTGTTAGGGTTAACCGATGCCAGTGAATCAATGCATTTTTCACTATCATCAATCTCTCTGTCTTTGGGCTGAATATCATTTTTGGGGCTATGCGCACTGGAAAGGAAGATTCTGCAAAGTGATTTAAAGTCCTGCACATTATCCAACCAAACCGGCTTCTGACTGGTAAGGTTGGCTATGCGTAAATAGAAAACACGAAGGGATAGACTAATACCAGATAGTTGCAGCTAATACCTTTTGCTCGGTTTTGTGACATAATCCCCTTTGTGTAATCCTGTACTCTTGTGAAAGCCAACCAGTTCTTCGTTCATTGGGGGCTTGACCTTCAAAAAACTTCAGGGTAGTTTTCTGACCACTTAATTCGGAATTCAAATATATCTCATGAGTTTCTCCTTTGGCTGTCCAAAATCCAAAGGCAAACTCTTTTTTCTCATTTGAATGTATGAGATACCAAAATTCAACTGCATATACCCAGTTTTTTTCAAGTAAGTAATTACGCAGTACCTAAGATTATTGTGGTTAATTGCAAGATCACACATTAAATGATCCATGTTAGAATAAGTAATAAGTCCATAACCAGGTGGCCTGAAAGTTCATGTGAAAATAGAATCTATGTAGGTTATCTGATTCATCAGAAGAAAAGTAACAATTTTACCTTACTATGTACGTGGAATCCATTTTTGAGCTAACGGATAGGATAATATTAAAATGATCTATGATTTTCAAGGTGAATCAAGAATTATCCTCATTAAAACAATGAAATTTACAATTCGGCTGAGTTTAATATATGCTGATTTTCACATTTCAACTTCTTCTAGAGAAGTACTCGACTAAAAGGTATAAAAATGAAGTTCTCAATAAAACCGAAGGAAGTAGTTTTGATTGGTATCATAAAATCATTTTGTCCAAAATTTAGATTCTCGCCCTCTTGGAATGTGAGAGGGTTGTGAAGTTCCTAACCTGTGTTTGTATTTTATTATCTGGCAATTAGAATAGACATCTAGCTCCCTGAGTGCTTGTTTTCCTCTTCGCAATAATCTAATACTTAGCCCCTGTTTGATGGCCATTATTTGGCCAAATACTATTTTGAATAGTGATTTTTAGAAGAATGTGTGGTTAAAAAAAAAGGGGAAAAGTTTTGGATTTACGTACAAAATATTTTATTATTGAAATGTGTGATTTAGAATAACTTCCCAAATCTCGTAAACAAATGCACCCACAACCTGACGATCATTGACAGACTACTGAAATTTATCCTATTCGGACAGGACAAAAGTTAAATCAAAGAGATAACCAAAAAGACTAAAGCGGTGTCACATAACCACAAAATACAAGAACTTCAAACTGACCTGGTAAATCTGAGGGATTGTACTGGTATGGGTTCATATCTGCTTTCACGTTACTAGGAAGAGGGGATCCACGTATGTACTCATCGAGTGACAAAATGATTTGTTCATCACTAGAATCAATTTCAAAAAGTGGGGAAGGCATTGGAGGACACATGGAGAACCAAAAATGAAGAGCAAGAAATTTGTAGCGTCTTATCTGGACAGATACAAAACATGAGTTTCTAAATCAGAATGCAGCTAAGTATAACAAAGATAGACAACTTTAAAATTCCAGAAGTTAACTTTTACATCGATAAACAAATTGCATAAATGAGGATATTCAGGATGTCTTTCATATCTCTTTAATATTTAAGTTAGATGAAAATTTGTTGCATTAAATTCAGGTTGTCTCAGAAAACATGCTGAGCATTTATAATATAGTGAAGAAAAAAACCAGACATCATTAGCATAAAAAATAATCATTATGAGGCTAATAAAACCAAATAACAATACTATCAGATTCTTGCAAATTAGACTGCAGAGTTGATTTTTCACTGTGGATTTTAACATCATAATTTCTGCGAGCTGCACATATTGCCAGTAGCCCTGAACTAATAAAATTTAGCAAATAAATACCTTGAGCCAAAAGGGTCAGTATCTCATAGGATGAATATAGAAGATCCAGAAACACATAATAAGTTGATATTCTATACACATGGAAACTTACACTTTTACACAGAGAAACATATATGTATTTTAAGCCAGCAGGTATGCACACGAGTATGTGACTATGTATGAATAAAGGCATGTGTGAATGAATGAATTAAATTGGAAGGCGCGATTGACACTATTGTATATAAATGTAAGTAAGAATGAAATTGGACAAAGCGATACCAAAAATAAATAAATACATAAACAACTGAAGAGAGTGTATTAATTTCTAGAGCAAACATTTTATCATTCCAAATGGTTAATACTCTTGTTATCACACAACCATTGATTCACATTGACTTGAAGACTTGTCAAGAATTGGGTCGCCCAGCACAAAAAAATTTCCACAAGTAATAAATTCCTATTCTACATAATAATCCTTGGGCTCCCTAACAAAAAATTGCATCACAATTTGCTGATAGAATAGATAATATGATGCCAAAATCAGTATAGTCTCCATATTTGCTGAAATCCCATAAACAAAAAAAACTCAACCGAAAGAATTCTGGATTATGATGCAAATAAACAGCTCGCAAATGACAACACCACAAAGAAAGTGCCAAACGTAAGAAAATGGAAAATATGATGCAACTAGAATCAATAAACGTAACAAAAAAACCCATAAATGAAAAAGAACTAAAATATACAAAAGAATTAAGAGAAACGAAAAGCATGGGAATAATATAATGATACAAAGAAATAGGGGAAACAAATTAGAATCAAACCTCAAGGAGTGGTATCTATGCCACCCTCTTCTTCAAATCATTTCCTCAACTGATCCAATATAGCATCCAATCAGTATATAAAAGAACATGTAATTGAAAAGAATTAATATAAATGAATGGCTATACAGTGACACAAAGAAAGGGGGGGAAATCTAATACAAACCTCAATTAGGTGCTACTCTCTCTACTTCACTAAGCTAAGCCAAACCCAATTATGAGTGGCTTTTTATAGAGAGAGGCTGCTAAACAGGGTGGGCTATGTTAATCAAACCATGGTTAACTATTTGCCGAACACACAGTTAAGATTGAAACAGTAACAAGTGGGCGTCATACGTGGTGATATAGAATTGGTCTGCTGATGCAAACGGAGGGAAGGCGGAGCCCATCACACAAGGTGACGGATTTCTGCGTCAGAAATAACGCGTTCTCCTTCGTGGAAGATTCCATTAAATTTAACTTAACATCGTGAATGTTCTGGTGGCAAGATGACGAAAAGCAGTCATTTAAGTTTTTTAATAAATAATTTTTTATCAAGGTCCAAGCTAAATAAGTCTTTATTTGGGAAGAATTATAAAAGATTAAATTTTAAATAAATAGAAATAAGTGTTAGATAACTTCGCCCTTGTTTAAACCACATTTTAAAAGAAAAAATATATTTTTAAATAGTGATTGATGGAGAATGCGTGATTAAAAATTAAAGAAAAATTTGAATTTGCATATAATATTATTTTATTATAAAATATGTAATTGAAAATGAGTTTTGGAAAAAATAATTTTTGAGAAGAATAAGGCTCAAACAAGAGCTTAATAATATCCATGAATTCAATGATATATGTGATTAAAAATGAAATTTAGCTCATGTTTGATCCACATTTTAGGAAAAAATGTATTATTCATGTCAAATTAATGAAAAATGTGTAGTTAAAAAATAAAAAAAAGTTTTAAATTTACGTGTAATATTATTTTATTGAAGAATGTGTAATTAAAATAATATCAAATTATTGTTGAAGAATCTATTTTTTTGAAAATAATATGGCTCAAACAAGCCCTTAATCATCTACAAGTAATTTATAAATTTACCGAAAAGTAGTCTAAGTTTCCTTTAAATTTTGAGGGTGTTTGGTGGACTAAAATTAGAATTTGTTTTTTTTTTTTTTTTTTTAGTATATTGTGATAGAATTTTTTGAAATATGTGATTGAAAATTTGTGTAATCCATGAAAGATGTAAATAATATTAATTATTTAACCTTGATTTAAATTAAAATTATATTTTAATCCAAACCAAACAGGTTCTTAAAGCACTTTTTTACTTTTGAATGTCTAGCTAAACATTTTCGAATATAAACAAGGGAGAGTTGATGATGAGAAGCATAGTGTGTGAGCACTTCTTATTTTTTCATTATATTCTTTCTTTTCTCCGTTTATAGACGGATAATAGAAAGCGTTCGTTTGGTCAAATTTAATTATTTTAACTCATAATTAAAACTTATGATTTAACTTAAGATAAAGGAAAATACATTAGTCAAAACTATACACCATTATTTCTACAAAATCTTTTAGGCAGTTTAAAGGATATCATTTTCTTTTGACAAGAGTATCCACTATATTTCTTTGTTTATCTTATATTTTTAATAAAATCTATGTATGTGCAAGTAAAAAACACATACATATCCCTATTCATTAAGGGTGTGTATTTATTTGAGATTTTTAAAAACTTTTGAAGATTTAAAAGGTTTACACGTATTCAATTGAGATTTTTAAATACTCTTTAAAAGTTTAGATATATTCAATTGGGACTTCTATGAACTTTTAAAAAAATCTTTAAAAGTTACTGCATATTTAATTGAAATTTTTTAAAAGTCTCTATAAGTCATGAGGTATTCAAATAGATAATAACTTTTGAATAATTCTGATTTTGAAAACTTTTTAGTGAAAAATATAAATAGCAAATCTCAAAGAAAATTTCTCATGTATTATGAGATTTGTAAGAATTTCAAAGCTCAAATAAAAAAGAACGTCTTTTTTTTTTAAAATTTTAGGATTTTCTCATATATATCTCTTTAATTCATTTGCTGTAATCAATTTATGATTATTATATATGTACATATATAATTACTTTTGAATTAAAATTATATGCAATTGATTCAAAACGTAAAATTCAATGTAATTGATCTATTCTTTTTTTTTTTTTTTTTGGCCTAAGAACAATTTGTATTTTTAGAATTTATGTTAGTTTCTTGAAAAAAAATTAAATTGTTATGTACTTAGAAATTTCTATAAAAGTTTTTTATGATTTTATTTGAGCCATAATTGAATGACTAGACCGTGATCGTGACTTTATCCAAGAAAATTTTGTGGGTATAATGGTTCTCGAAAATGTTAATTAGGTAGTATGAAATATTGTAAATTTTTAGGTATATAACGAATTTGCAAGATGAAAAAGTCTTTAAAAGTCGTTAAAAATCTTTAATCAAAGTCTAAAGAAGTCCATGGGAGACTTTTATTAATTCTTAACAAATTAACACAAGTCACTTAAAAAGTTCATAAATTTCACAAAAGTCGCCCGCTTAAAAAAACCTATAGAAATATTGAAAAGTTTCAATTAAATATGCTCCCCTGAAAGAGTGACTTGGTTTCGGTACTGTTCATATGAGTGCGTGCTAACTTACTGCTTACATGTGTAGCGTTTTCTTTTCTCGGCCACAAATTTAGGCTATTTAGCCTATGAATTATTGTCTTCTCTCATTCATTTATGCAAAAAAAACCCTAAATCTGTCTTCTTACGCTCAAATTGAGATATAAACACTTCATATTAGTAAAGATAAGTCTCCACTGCAAAGTCTCTAAATTAGTATGCAGAAGGAAAGATCTGATGTATCATTAATCAAGAGCCTAGATTAAGCAGCATGTGTCAAATTGGGCAAGTAGTTACTCGTCAAAACAAGAGACCGGAGTATGGCCTTTTTTATTCGAATGATAACCTCATAAGAGTTCAAGTTTAGCCAATGTCATTAAGGAATATTGTTGCAGTTTCAATGTTGGTATATCTTGTTTGATTCTTGAAATAAATAGTGCTTAACTGAGGCTCGAGAAAGAAACTAATTCCATCCTCTGCTAATTAATCAGCTTGCAAAAATGTTCAAGGAATACTAATATTGGCAACTACAAAAATGCCAACAGTATGCCCCCGTTTGGCCCCCATTATTTGAATTTATAATAGGGAAATAGTATTTTTTTAAAGATTGTATGGTTGAAAAGTTTTCGATTTGAGTGTAATAATATTTTATTGAAAATTGTGTAGTTGAAAGTAGAAAAGAGAAAAAAATTAAATTAAAATGAAGAGTTTTAATGGGGGGGGCAAACGGGAGCTATATTTCAATAAATGTTACTTTCATTTTCACAAAATAATAATAAAAATAAAGAGTAAAATAATTTGTTAGATTTTCTAAATGAACAAATGTAATGACAAAAAACGAAGTGATTGAAGAATTTATTTTAGTCTAGCAGTATATTTCAATAAATGTTTCTCCAATAATCTGCTTTTGTTATATAAATTTCAAAACTCCAAACAAATGGCACAATGAGATGTCTTAAATGCTTTAACTTCATTTGCCAATTCACCTCAAGTATTATGTAATTATTATAATTATCATACATTTGAAACTCGAAAAGAGTTAAATCTAAATAGTCGAAACTTAAGTATTAACTACACAATCCTATAATTTTGTCTTATACAGATCGACGGCATACTTGTTTTAAAAGCAATGTTTTATTTTGAAGTAACATGAAGCAATGTCCAGCTTCGTGTAACTTCGGGCGGGGATTGGATACTGTAGCTATATTAAAAATCAATGGTAAATGATGGAAGATATATTCAAAATGGTTTCCATCTCAACACGTACTTGGAATAAAGGAGAATCATTCATGCATTATACAAAGGGTAAAGAAATATTTAACAAATAGGGGTAACGCAAAGCAAAAATTAAGTTAGGACATAGGCGAATCTAAGTGTGGTCATGTGGAGTTAGCCGACCCCACACAAATTTTTTAATTTTAATTTTTTTGTCTATTACTTTTTTCACCTTTCCCTATATGGAGTAACCTCGAGTAGGGTAGTTTCTTGGGTGAGATTTGCTATATGTACACCAAATTCGACGTACAGCCCCCTCACAAGAGAGGGGTCCGCATCAAATCAAAAAATCGCCAGCGCCCCCTCTTGTGACGGGCTGTCATCCAAACTGTCAAACTCGAAATGTACAAACACTTATTGGTTAAGATGAGATTTGAATGGATTTTGAGATGTCTGGTGGCTTAATAGATAGATACAACAATATTCATTAATGAAACCTCTATATTCTATATACTAGAATGAGAAAGTCACACATATAAATATACATACATGTATATATATAGAGAAAGGGAGATAATAAATGGGACAACTGGACAAGCACATTCATCGGAAGGAAAATGAACATGTGTTGTGCGTGAGAGAGAGAGAGAGAGAATTCATTTTTATTAAAAATGCAAAGGTTATTTTTTACTAGACGTTACTTCCATTGCTTGTCTTCTAGCTCTTCTTCATTTGTAATGTCTACTTTATCTCTCTACATTACCTTTGCACCCATGTTTGTTAGATTATTAATTATTTCTCTTTTTATGTATTTTTATTTTAAAATCTTGATCGAGCACTGATACGAAAAAGATAAATGGTTGAAAGTCTTAGATCATATGGTAGAAATTAAATAAAAATATTTCATTTTCTATTTAAATGGATTTGACTATTTTCTATTTTCTTGATCAATCGAAGGGTAATAATCTCAATGGTCAATTGTCACTTCACTTTCAATGTTATTTTCTAGTTGTCATTGAACTTTAAAAATTATCCAGAATGTTTTATGGAACATGAGGAAAATTCTGGCGGAAACAACATTTATATTTCCGTATTTTTAATTTTACCCCATTGATCAACCAATATATTTTAGCACCAATTATATAATTGACTGTAAAAATTGAACATAGCAATTGTATTTAAAAACGCAACCCAAATGAAAGACAAAATTAACCATTGACGAAGTCATAAAAATATTTTGTTTTCCCCACAACAATAAAAAGAGAGAAGCTAAAAATTTTATTTATTAAATTATACTCTTGAAACGTATGTGCAGTGCCAGTCTTGACTATAGACGGGGTAGACGATCGCCTAAAGTTCCATTTCAATGAGGGTTCCAAAAAAATTATTATTTTTAATTTTACATGTATTTTTATATATATTTAAGATTTCATATTTGAAATTGGTCTAAAGCTCCCAAAATCTGAAGGCCGACCA